GAAAATGAAAATTAACCTACTTGCTTAGCTCTGGTGGTACACCATAAAACAATTGAAATACAGACCAGAGTTTGAACTCCATTGAAAGCATATGAGTTAGTATCGAGATGTATGAATATTAGGGCTGGACCCCACAGCCGCGCGGACGATTTTCGTCCTTCCCACCGCCGACGGGAATTTTCCTTCGCCAGCGGAGAGGCGGAGTTGGAGGGGATCCCACCGCGCCCCTTTTTTTTTCCATCCCCGGTCGTTTCGGTTTCCCGAACAGGAAAGTGGCAGAGGACTTTCCAATTCGGGCAAGGCGTTATGGGCATTCGGTGAGGCTGCTGTGGACCTGGGTACAGGACGCCATTCCACGCCGCTGTCCTTGGGCGACGTTGTGTGGCGTGTGGCATCGTGGGTGGGGCAGCACCCGACAGAAGGGGTCGACTTCGGTTGGGGAAGCGATGCAGCCCTTTTGCAACCGCTCGTCACGACCGTTGCGGGCCGGTTGTTCCAGGGGACATTTCGATCGTTATCGACCTCCTCGTTTGTATCCACGGTGGAACCACGGGATTCCACGGTAAAGGGCGAAGGCGATGTGGGGCGCAGCGAGCATGCTCTCTCGGAGTCCGTAGCTGTTTCGGGCAACGCACCCGTGTTCCTCACAGTCGATATGTCCGCCAGAGCTGATGAAGGTCGCTGTGTAACCGTTTGAACGCCGTGAACGCGCGTTCGCGTTCAAATGTGCGGTTGAACGCGGATTGCACGTTCGCGTTCAAAATTGAACGGCGTTCAATTATTGTTATTATTATTTAAAATAATTTTAATGCCTAAAAATAACTTTTTTTTTCTGATTTTGTTTTTAACGAGTTCTGTATAATGTGAGGAAAATGCCGCTCAATTTCGATCTATCTATCTATCTATCTATCTGTCTATCTATCTATCTATCTATCTGTCTATCTATCTATCTATCTATCTATGCATCTATCTATCTATCTATCTATGCATCTATCTATGCATCTATCTATGCATTTATCTATCTATGCATCTATCTATGCATTTAT